TGCATATCATCCGGATATATGGTATTTATCGTAACCGGATATCCGGATACGATGCAGAGCCTGGAGTCGTCCATGTTACATATATTGGATAAAGTATCGAGCTTTGCATGCATGATTGCTGGTTTGATTGGATGTTTTTTGGTGCGAAGATCTTCTATTGGTGATCCATGATTTCTCCTCTACAAATACTACATTTTGAACATTATACTTCATCTATTTTCAAGTTCATTCACGATTTCTGCTGGTTGTAGCAACATTTTCGGACGGAGGTAGTACTATATATATAGTTGTACTATATACTATATACTATATCTGTTGTCCAATACTGAAGGACTGGGCCGAATCATAAGTTGAGATTGGAAGAAATTTGACAGGACGTGATTTCATTGGCTTAGACAGTTATCTAATCGATGCTTTTAATACATTCGATTCTGGTGAGGGCTCCAGTTTTGAATCGATTTGACAATATGCAGAGTTTAGTTTGTCATGCTGTACACGGCCAACCCGACGGCTGCGAGGGAGACGGCGGAGATGGTCGCAGACGACTCGGGGGCCGTGGAAGGCGCGGGGGTGGTAGACGCGTTGGCTGTGGAAGGCGCGGTGGTGGTGGTGGACGCATTCGCCGTGGAAGGCGCGGTGGTGGTGGACGCGTGGTCGTGGTGTTCGTGGCCGGTCGTGGTGTCCGTGGGCGGGGTAACGTTAGCTGACTTGACGGCTGTGAAGATGGCGGCGAGCGCGTCCTGAAGGGGCAAGGTCGCAAACGTGGACGTCTCCACGCCACCCAACGTGCACGAAGGAGAGATATTGGACACGATGCCACCAAGGTTGGCATACAACGTCTTGCACGCCGTGCTGGACGAGATCTTGGCCAGTTCGTCGTCCGTAGGCGGGATGCCAGATGCACCACTGACGAGGAAGTTGTAGCCGGAATCGTTACTGCACGTCGCAAGGTTGGGGTCGGCAGCCAGAGGGGTCAAGCCGCCCAACACGGCTGAGATGTCACACGGGGCGGCCGACACGGCTCCGGCCAACGCAATAACTCCGAAAGCAACGACAGACTTCATTTGACAGGGCTGGAGCGAGTTCGAAAATGATCTTTTTCTCAACTCAAGTACGAAGTCAAAACAAAGCTATGGCATTTCTTTATCCGGAGAAACCTTGGTAATATCCATATCCTTAACCAGTACATTTTCATATAGACAATACGGTGATCTAGAACTGTCCCAGCCATTAATGTGTAATTTAGGCAGCAAGAAAGCGGTAAACAAATGAAATAGGATAAACTATTATATATGAAATGTCAATGTAGTGCATTCAGCATGTGCAGGATTGGATATCGTTTTACCGGTACCCGAACTTCGGACAGAATTGTTAAATGTGCTGAGATAGGGAAATCGGTTACGCTAATACTTGAAGTACCGTACTTTTGAAACATTTTACTCGGAGTAGCGAGAAGTGTATGAAGAAGAAACATTCTTATCTGACGACCAATAAAACGGTTGAAAACCTCAAAGGAACGTCTAAATCGCTGTAGCATATACTGGCGGATAGATGACAATAGAAAACGAAAATGTCGCCACTTTGCTTACACCAGCTGGCGCGACTACCGTAGTACTTCGTAGTATTTGAGAAAGGACAACAAAAACACAAAGAACTACAGTATTAATAGTAAACGTACACTTCCCTCATTAACTGTAAACAGCACCACTGTTGTTTTTCTCAAAAATACGCCATTTGCGTGTTTATGTGGAATTTTGTTTACTCTTACCATCTCACCACTTACTAAGCGCATTCGAGTGGTCAGCGATAGCTACCACTGGCGATGCAGTTAGCCCCGGGGATTTAGCATCGTATGCATTCCAGGGTTACAGGGCTATGGAAATTATCTGGAGGGGATAATTCCCTCGTTGCAAACACATTTAGTGTTAATGAGGGAATTATTCGTAGTACTACTGTAGTAGGTAGATACGGTAGTTTTCTCGAGTCACCAGGTTCTGTCCTGGTAGGTACTACCATAGTACTGTACTGTATACAGTAAGACTGTACCGTGAGTTTATTTTTACATCTCCCGTCATTACGAAGGTGACGAGTAAACAGTTGGTCACTTCATTTTCATCCACAAACATCTCCAAGCTTGCCAAGGCAAGCAATGAGGATGAATTTGCACCAAAAATTCCATTGGCAAGTTCTACGTAAGGTAATGAATGCATCCATTGTTGACACGGCACCAAATTATGAGACTGTCTGACTTTTAGCCAATAGCATCTCGATCTTTCGTGTTGACCTTGTATGATTGGATATCAAAATATTCGCCTCTATATTTTATTATACGACTCAATGTTGAAGTCTGGTCAGTCTTTTTCAATCTCAAACAAAAAAATATAAGCATTTAAATAGAATGTCAACTAGAAACATTTGATGCTGTCGCGCCATACATGCCTACGAGAGCTTCACGGTAGTTGTGCGTAGCTACAGTGCTCGGTGAAAAAACGCAGTCAGAGTTGGACTTTGCAATAAAATATAATTGCATTTTCTTGAAGTAGAAGAACCAATTTTGATTGGTTAAAATTCATGGCTTTTTTTATGAAGCCTTTCTGATTACGATTTGAAATGAACTAATCACACAAAGGACAATAATCAAATAACGTTATTGTCAAATCCGTTCCAATTTGGGCTTCCGAGTAGAATTGACAAATGCTCTTGAGTATATTGTAGCCAATCAATGTACACTAACGCGAAATTACATCCAATCATCGATTAGTTCAGTCAAAATGATGATCTTCAAATGTGTATCCCATACATTGAATAAGTTTAAAAACTGACTCAAATCGATTCTCCGAATCAGCTGCAAAGACCAAATTTCAGCGAAAAGGACAATACTACTTCTGTCCTGAAATGTTCGCTACAATCAGATATTTTGAAAAATGAACGTGATACCGGTCGAATTATCTAAAACGAACGATATGTATGTGAAGAGGGGATTTCAGAGTATACCAATCAAGATGCTTCGAGCCAAAAATGAACCAATCAAAGAGAGAAATTCAGTAAATACAGATGCCATAATTTATCCTATATGATATTCGGCGCAAGTGTATCCGGATAACCGATTCCCGGATAATACTTCGTTTATCCGAACAAGTATCTAAGAATGTCAGCCCATACTAGTACGCCAAGAATATGTCCAACTCGGACCGGACTGCTGTCTTGCAGCACCTTCTTACTCTGGGCAATGACCAATCAACACTCCCCGCATGGTGCATTTGCTGCCGTGGTTGCCAACTTCGGCGTGGCAAGAAGCACCGTCATGAACCACCGTGCGCCTTAGTTGGAAACGTGCCGCCGTCAATCTCAACGACAAGCTCGGCCCATGTTCCAACGTGTCGTCACGCATCAAGGTCCACATTGACAGTGAGTTTCATACGCAGCTGAAGGGTCTTGATGTGCAAGACGTTGTCGACGATGATGCCATTGAAATTTTGCAAATCCTAATATTTAAAATAATATCACTTTATTTGTAAATAATACATTTAATCGACACAATGGATACACAGTGGTACAATTGTAGCAATCGTTGTGAAACTTCAAGATTCGCCATTGTAGCGAACATTTCAGGACAGAGGTAGTATCAATTTTGAACATCAAAGCCCAAAATCACTACCTCGAAGTATTTACGTATCGCTGCACCTTCAAGGTGAAGGTGCAGCAGCACGTAAATAGTGATCGCAAGGTAGCCATCGCCCAGTTTCATGCCTCTGGCAGCGACAATGAGCGACAGTTTTTTCGCGACATTGGTCTCAAGTATTCGACTTGGTAAGGGTGGCGTCGCAAGGAGTGAATTTGACCGATTTTGCGACATGTCAATCGTAACGTTACACTGCACTAATACCTGAATCTGACTGGACAATAATAAAATATATTATCGAAAAGGATGCATTTGGTCAGAGTGCCCCGTTTCAGCCATCACCAATTTAATATTATTACACTTCAACCTAATACTACCTAGTATTGTCGACTTTCTTCAAAT